TGTTGTAAAGTGAATACCGAAGCAATAAAATCACTAATCAATAAAATTAAAACTAATTATCAACGAAATCAGGCAGGAACAAAGTCAATTATGTAAGTTAATGCACTTCACTGACATCAATCACTTTTCGTAAAAAATTTCATAAAAAAGTTTACAGCAATGAATTCATCGGATCATGCGACCAATCAGTTAGGTAACATATGAAGGAAGGAACAACAAGTCTATATAAAGAAGGCTATGGGAGTCGGAGTTCATTTCACTTCATCCGCTCAACCAAGCAACATCGTCCTCCGTCTGCTCATCGGGTACTTGCAGTTTCTAAATTAACAATCAACGTATATTATTTGAAAACTATTTTTATTCACTCAAATTAATTAAAAATGAACAACCAAACCAACCAAAGTAACTTTACCTCGAATCAACTAAATAATCAACAATTTGACGATCAGCAAAATTTCAAGCAAACAACAGCAAATTTAAACTTTTGCGGTGACAACAAAAATTTCATTAATTTAAATTGTTCTAACTTTAGCACTCAATCCCCGTCCATCCAACAACAAACTTTGTTTGCACCAGACGTTAAACAAACTGATAAACAATTTGACGATCAGCAAAATTTCAAGCAAACAACAGCAAATTTAAACTTTTGCGGTGACACCAAAAATTTTATTAATTTAAATTGTTCTAACTTTTGCACCCAATCCCCGTCCATCCAACAACAAACTCTGTTTGCACCAGACGATAAACAAACTTATTCCTTTAACAATCAACAATCCTCTTATTATTACGGATATAACCAACCTTCATCATTTAATGGCGCATACAAGCAACCTTCCCCATATTATTGTTCACCAACACAAACTTCTGGTCATTTTTGCACATCAAATCAACCATATGCACACAATTTCACACCAATCCAACAACCAAATCAACAAGCAACAATTAATATCCAACCAAGCCAACAACAAACAATGGCTTACTTCACACCTACAGCATTAACTCATAACCCTGATATCAACAACAATCCACTTGACACCCAAATCGATGCCCCCAGAACTTCAACCGCATCGTCAGCCTCACATACCAGTACAACCGCCGCTTCAACTCCAAATGCTTATGACAACAAGATACAAGTGAACCCTACATCCAAAAAGGGTAAGAGACGGATGTATCTTACCAAAGAAAGAACAGAAAAGCTAGAAGAGTATTATCAGAACCACATAGCATTTCCGTACCCTGACCAAGAAACGAGAGAATTCCTAGCCAATGAGTGTGGGATCACATATCCGCAAGTTACGAAATGGTTCAGTAACAGAAGAAACAAGGACAAAAATACACGTACGTTTACAGAAATTGTCGGTGGAAGGAAAAGAAAGTGAATCTCAATCCTGTAATCTCTGTTAATAATTCAATTTAAATTTTTTCACTAATTGCATGTTCTATTTTTATATATGTGTAAAATTAATTTATTTTATTATTTATCTTTATGTGATACATCTGCGATAGTTTTTAATGATTATAATTTAGCATACCGTTTTATTATGTGATATCAATTTTTTATAATTCATTTTTACACTCCATCATATTATGTTCCATTATATTCCATTTACATTTTACATTATACCACCCTTGTTGTGGTTTATAGATTAATCTTTTCTTTTTGCTTTTTAAATTTTATTTTTTTAGTTTTTATCGACCATTTTCATCAATAAACTTTGTGATACAATAAATTTGAAATTGATTTGAGCATTTTCGTTCCCACTAATTCGTTCATGTGAAATATCGAAGTTATGAAATTATGACCAATGAGATTATACTTTTTATGACTCGCTATTTTAAAACCGCTGCCATTGAATACTATTACGAGAAAGAAATAAAGCAAATACAACATAGAAAAAAAATTTTTTTATTTTGATTCAAAGTTCGTTCTGCGGATCGTACGTTTTGGGTTCGGGGGTTAAAAATTCAATAAATAAACCAACACTTTCGCTGGACACATTAAAATCAAATAAAAAATTGATTAATCGTTTAATAGGAAAATTATATTCTCTGTCTTTCATGGTGCCAAAAGTTAATAGCTTTGATTGGTTAGGCCCAATAACTGACGCCATTGCATCAGCATTTGACCTCTCTCCATATTTGGACGAGTATACGAACAAGAGTCAACGACGTTAGAATTTGAAACAAACACACACACACACACATTCCATCAAAAGTCGACAAAGTATGAATTTGAAACTCACACACACACACCACACCAACTCAAAAGACACAATGTAAGAATTTGAAACTTACTCACACACACATTTTTTGAATCGTTGATTTAAATGAATTTTGAAACAAAATCTCAACTAGTCACATTACAAAATATGATTAAAAATCTAAAAACAAAAAAATAACTCGCGTAATTCGACTCCACAGAAGTTCTCAACGTCGTTAGCATGGCTGATTTTAAGCCGGGCACTCCACTCAGAATCGTTAAAGTTAATGTTGTACAATAAATACAGTGGAGAACTTCCAACTCCCTTCCCGTATGCCCCTATCCCAAGAGTACCCAGAAATAAAAATAATACTCACTGATCACCCACTATCAAAACGAGATGATCAAATGTTTCGTTATCACTGCTCTTTAACTTTACTAGAATTTTCAATTTATATATAACACTTTGATGAAATATGCTCCAAACGATCTTATTAAACAAAAAATAATAATAAAAAAAGAAAAAAATTTATTATTGAGAAGTAAATATTGTCAACATGCGAACAAACAACGATGAATCTGTGACATGCTAAGCGAAACAATTGCAATAGGATCAAACAATAAAAAAAGTTGGTGTTGCCTACTTTTACATTTATTCCACGCACAAATTTTCATTAAATTCCATTATTTTTTATTCAGATGGAAATTCACGAAACTGAAATAAAAGAGAACGTGTCGATGTGATTCATGATAATAAATCATGCATTTCTACGATTAAACCCCAGCTGAACGCAATGGCGGATCCAGAGGGGGGGCGGTGGGGGCGATCGGGCGATCTGTTATATACATGAAATATTTACAAGACAAATGTCATTTTTCTACATTTTTTTCGGCCAAACCTTGTTATAATGTCTTCAATATCTAATTCAATATCGCGATGAATGTTCATTAAGGCTAATCCCGTTAGTCTTTCCTCATTCATTTTGGAGCGCATCCACGTTTTTAACCGCCTCAGGGTAGAAAATGAACGTTCTGCCGTTACTACTGAAACAGGCATGGTGCACAATATTGACAACAGGCTGTTAATTGTCGGATAGAGATTGGAATTGCACAATGCGAGAGCTTCAATGGCCGTTTTGGGCTGTGAATTCATCTTTACCCAGTACTGCGTCCAGAGCATTTCTTCATTGCGTACAAATTCAATGGCCGTGTTGTCATCATACGAGGTCAAATTTGTTATTAAAGTTTTATATTTCGTAACAGCTTGGTCAATTAAAAACCATGTTTTATTCTGTTCTGCATTACCACTTATTCGGAGGAAAACTGAAGGTATCAAACGACTCAAACCCATTATAGCTATTTGGATTGTCCCAAATTTTGATTTCATGTCTGTTATCATACTATCTAGCATGGGAATAAATATAGCAATCCTGAAATATTCTTCTAATGAGTTACTTTTAATATTTGCACGATTTAAGTGTCTTTCTATACATCTTGGCATTTTTAATTCAATATTCATTTCCTCTGCAACTTTAGAAACTCTCGTAAAGATATCATGAAATATTTGCTCAACATTTTCTCTTCTAGATTGAAGATTATCTATGACTCTATTAGCATGTTGAGCTGCCTCGACCAAATCTAAATTTTCTGTTTGTAAAACTTTGCTTAGTGGCTTAGTTAGAATTAATGGATCGGCAACTGAGTACAAAGCTATTAAAAATTCAGAATCAGTTAAAGCCGATAACAACGTCTTTGCTTTAGATGATGTTTATCTGTCATGCCAATTAGCAATATTTTCTAAAGAAGCTAGAACATATTGCAGGGACTGTCTAAAACTGATAATCGAATCATGGCGTTCAACCCAACGTGTCTCACATAAAGGCATGACATTTTGTCTCAAATTTTGATTTTCATTTTTAAACATTATTCTTTGCACTAATTTTCTTTTGGCCGATGCGCGAAAAAAGGAAGCCGTTTGCTTAATAGTGCCCATTGCATTTCTTATGGCTTGTACATCGGATGTTTTAGATAAACGTAAGTTCAGTCCATGGTTAGTACAAACACAATGAATACATGATGTAGCTTTTTTTGATATTTCTGCAGCTGCACCACATGACTGAGATGTCATGACAGAACATCCATCTGTTCCACAACCAACACAATGCTGTGGATCTAAAGTTAGCGCTTTTAGTAAACGTAACACTGAGCCGGCTAACATTTTTCCGGTTAATTTTGGTTCCGATTCTATATCTTTGTATGCATCCTCTAGAGAATCCACAAATGCAACAAAATCTTCTCTAACCTGGCCGTTGTAAACATATCGTAAGCTCAAAGACAATTGCTCAATACCATATATGTCAGTTGTTTCATCAAATAAAACTGAATAAAATTTGGCTGCTTTAACTCTCTGTACAATAGTATCTGTAATAATATCGCCAATTGTGGTTATGATTTCATTTTGAATCGTTTTGCTTATGTATGTCGC